CCAACAAAAAAGAGAACTTCAGACCTATCTCTCTTATGAACATTGATGCAAAAATACTCAATAAAATATTTGCAAACCGAATCCAAGAACACATCAAAGATCTCATCCACCACGACCAAGTAGGCTTCATCCCAGGCATGCAAGGGTGGTTCAACATATGAAAATCCATCAATGTAATCCACCACATAAACAAACTGAAGGAGAAAAACCACATGATCATCTCCTTAAATGCTGAAAAAGCATTTGACAAAGTCCAATACCCATTCATGTTTAAAGTCTTGGAGAGATCAGGGATACAAGGCACATATCTAAACATAGTAAAGGCAATATACAGCAAGACTATAGCCAACATCAAACTCAATGGAGAGAAATTTAAATCAATCCCACTGAAATCAGGGACAAGACAAGGCTGCCCACTCTCTCCATACCTCTTCAACATAGTACTTGAAGTCCTAGCCAGAGCAATAAGACAACTAAAGGAGATCAAGGGGATACAAATCGGAAAGGAAGAGGTCAAAGTGTCACTATTCGCAGATGATATGATAGTGTATATGAGTGACCCCAAAAATTCAACCAAAGAACTCCTCCAGGTGATAAACACCTTCAGCAAAGTGGCAGGATACAAAATCAACTCAAAAAACTCAGAAGCCCTCCTGTATATCAAAGACAAAAGGGCTGAGAAAGAAATTACGAAAACAACATCCTTCACAATAGCCACTAATAACATAAAGTACCTTGGGGTGACACTAACCAAGCAAGTGACAGACCTGTTTGAGAAAAACTTCAAGTCTCTGAAGAAAGAAATTGAAGAAGATCTCAGAAGATGGAAAGATCTCCCGTGCTCATGGATTGGTAGGATTAACATTGTGAAAATGGCCCTCCCGCCAAAAGCAATCTACAGATTCAATGCAATTCCCATCAAAATACCAACTCAATTCTTTACAAACCTCGAAAAAAAGATTCTCAGCTTCATATGGAAAAACAAAAAACCCAGAATCTCCAAAACAATCGTATACAACAACAGATCATCTGGAGGTATCTCTATCCCCGATCTCAAGCTGTACTACAGAGCAATAGTAATAAAAACTGCATGGTATTGGCATGAAAACAGAAAGGAGGATCAATGGAACCGCATAGAAGACCCAGAAATAAACCCACACACCTATGAATACTTAATTTTTGACAAAGAAGCCAAAACCATTCAATGGAAAAAAGATAGCATCTTCAACAAATGGTGCTGGTCCAACTGGATGTCCACATGCAGAAAAATGAAAATAGATCTCTATTTATCACCCTGCACAAAACTAAAGTCCAAGTGGATCAAAGACTTCAGCATAAAACCAGATACTCTAAATCTGTTAGAAGAAAAATTGGGAAACATCCTAGAACTCATTGGCACAGGAGAAAACTTCCTGAACAGAACACCAACAGCACAGGCTCTAAGAGCAACAATCAATAAATGGGACCTCATGAAACTGAAAAGTTTCTGTAAAGCAAAGGATACCATCATCAAAACAAAACGCCTGCCTACAGATTGGGAAAGAATCTTCAGTAACTCTTTATCTGACAGAGGACTAATATCCAGTATATACAAAGAAATAAAGAAGCTGAAAAGCAGCAAACCAAGTAATCCACTTAAAAAATGGGGAACAGAGCTAAACAGAGAATTCTCGACAGTGGAATATGGAATGGCAGAGAAACACTTAAAGAAATGCTCATCCTCACTAGCCATCAGGGAAATGCAAATCGAAATGATCCCGAGATATCACCTTACACCCATCAGAATGGCCAAGATGAAAAACTGAAGGGACAACACATGCTGGAAAGGTTGTGGAGAAAGGGGAACCCTCCTCCACTGCTGGTGGGAATGTAAACTGGTACAACCACTCTGGAAATCTATCTGGCGCTTTCTAAGACAATTAGGAATAGTGCTTCCTCAAGACCCAGCTATACCACTGCTAGGTATATACCCAAAGTTTGCTCAAGTACACAAAAGGGATACTTGCTCAACCATGTTTATAGCAGCTCTATTTGTAATAGCCAGAACCTAGAAACAACCCAGGTGTCCATCAACGGAGGAATGGGTGCAGAAATTGTGGTATTTTTACACAATGGAGTACTAGTCAGCAATCAAAAAGGAGGAAATCATGAAATTTGCAGGCAAATGGTGGGATCTAGAAAAGATCATCCTGAGTGAAATATCCCAGAAGGAGAAAGATAAACACGGTATATACTCACTTATATAGACCTATAAGATATGATAAACATAATGAAATCTATACACCTAAAAAGATAATCAAGAGAGCAGACATGGGGTAAGGTGATCAATCCTCGTTTAGAAAGACAGATGGGATGTGCATTGAACGTATGACAGGAGTCTACTGAGGTCATCTGAAAAACTCTAATTAGCAGTGTTTTCAAAGCAAAGACTCATAACCAAACCTTTGGCAGAGTACAGGGAATCATAAGAAAGAAGGGGAGTTAGTCTGATGGGGAAAGGATAGGAGCTCAACAAGGACCAAATATATCTGGGCACAGGGTCTTTTCTGAGACTGACATTCAGCCAAGGACCATGTATGAATATAACCTAGAACCTCTGCTCAGATGTAGCCTGTGGTAGCTCAGTAACCAATTGGTTTCCCATAATGAGGGGAACAAGGACCATTTCTAACAGGATCTCAATGACTGGCTCTTTGGCCTCCCCATTCCCCAAGGGAGGAACAGTCCTGTTAGGCCACAGAGGAGAGCTTTGCAGCCAGTCCTGAAGATACCTGATAAAACAGGATCAGATGAATGGGGAGGAGGTCCCCCCTATCAGTGGACTTGGAAAGGGGCAAGGTGGAGATGAGGGAGGGAGGGTGGGATTGGGAGGGAATGAGGGATCGGGACACGGCTGGGATACAGAATTAATAAAATGTAACTGTTAAGAAAAAAAATAAAATTAAAAAAAAAGAAAAAAAAATAAAGCAACTGTCATTTTGTCCAAATGCTGACACCTTTCAGCAAAGAAGTGAAAATTACAGAGAGGAAGCCCAGGGTAACTAGAGAATAGAAAGTTGCAATGATCCAAGTGGAGATTTTTAGAGAAGAGCTCAGTGGAGAAGTAAGGTGAGAGCAACTATCAGGTGTGCAGAGGTGAGAAGAAGCTCCACCCTGCACAGGACAGAGGAAGCAATGTCAAGCAGCAAGACCCAGCACCAGAGATGCCACAGTTGTGACTCAATGTCCAATCACCAACAAAAGACAGAAGGTGTAGGTTGAAAATGATTCAAAGAATGATAGGACCTTCCTACTCTGGCAAAGTACAAACCTGCCATGAAGAACTGAACAGCATGAAGCTACAAATTTATTAAGCAAAATCACCACCAGCAGCATAGAAACCAAGACAGCAAATCTCTTGAAAGCAGAGGGAAGAGAACTTACAACTTATGGGGACATCACAATGGACAGAACAAAATGGGATACTATCTATAAACATTAAGGGCAAGAGATTATCAACCTAGTGTCCTACAATCAGAGAAAGGCAACGTGGGAATGGAGGCGATAGGCAACTACTGGGGAGAAGCTAAGACGTTTCCTATCGCCACAGCCTTCTCTGAAGGAATGGAGAAAAAAGTGTGTGAGGTCAGAAGGGAAACTGTGAAGTTAAAGGGTCAGAAAAAGACAGAGCTGTGGGAGGATGTATAAGGAAAAAAGGCCTCACACACTTCTGCCTTTGAGTTCCAGCTTCACAGGACACTGAAAAGCAATGTCTGTGTGGTTCTCAGGGTGAGTGAGGACAACACCTGACACAGCTGTGTCATAGAAGAGAGACAGGGGTCATTCTCATTTGTATTTGCTCCACTTCACTTGGAAAATGGTGTTAGCAATGTCTCCTAAGGTGTGGGTGTGTACATTAACATAGAGCAGAGCCTGGGAGGATGACAAAAATGTTGTAATGGAATAGTGAAGAGGAGTAAAAAGATAAATACTCAGAAGTGTCCAAGAAATACACAGGGAAGCAATAATGGAAGAGTAAAGAAATAGAATTACAAGATAAAGTAATAAGTGTTAAAATCCTTATGAAAGTTTACAAAATGGTATATTCTACCCAACTAATGGTAAGAAATAGGAATAATAAATAATGGTCCAACAAGTAGAAATGATAATTAAAGAACATGTATCAAGTATATTCTGTCTAGGCACAGGGTCAGGAAATAAAAACAGATAAGAAGGGACATTATGAAAGTAGATGGTCAATGCATGGAAACACATGCTGACCTTAAATGTGTACATACCACAGACACACACACACACACACACACACACACACACACACACACACACACATTATAAGCAAAACAAACAAACAGAAACACTGGTGGGTAGACAGGAGGTAGACCATAGACCAGGAGGACAAACAGGGAAATCCCCAGTAGAGCTGGGAATTACAGGACACCTTTTTCATAGTTGATAAAGTCAGTAAGCAAGCAGTCAGCAATGATTTTATATACTATATAAAATCATTATAAAATATTATATATAATATATATATTTATACTAAGCAAGTAGCAATAGAAATGAACTAATATTATAGAAATTTCTGATCAGAGAACAGTTTTGTTTTGTTTTTCCTGCATGAGTGTTTAACCGACAAAGCTAAGAGGCACTTGCTTACACATTTCTTAAAGCAACAGAGCTTCTTTTTCAAGATAAATATTAATTCATCCATCAACATTACATATTTAAAGAAATTGAAATCATTCACAGTGTGTTGTCAGACCATAATGGACTAACAGTGGAAATAGTTCATACAAGGATATTAAAATGAACTTTTTTAACATCAAAACATCCTGCCACTTATATAGAAGGGCCCAATTAGACATTAGTTCCATTGGCTGGGTTACTCGGCAGTCGTTACGATCCTTTATCCTGGTCCTCCAGATCCCGGTGCCAGAATCTCCGTTTCTACAGCTCGGGATTGGATCATGGCACAGCCAGACACCGTCTCCATTTCTTACCGGCTGGATGTCCAAATGCAGGTGTGACAACTCTAAACTGAACTGGAACAAGTTGCCCACGAAGGGCAGGCGCCAGGGCCCTGGAGGGTAGTTCTTGGGACGCCTGTTTTTGAGGTAGTCAGCCAGGAGCAGGAAGGTGACAGAAGCCAGCAGCAGAGTCCAGGGATGGATCCTTGCCCAGATACCAGCCATCAGGGAACCCTCTGTATCAGTCATGGTGATGGTATGAGCTGGGCCAGTCTTCTGACAGTAGTAACAGTGCTTTGTTCTCCCTATTCCTTGCAGACCAAGCCTCCCTCTGTGTTTCCACAGCCTTTATCCTCTGCATTTTTTGCCCTTTCCTTTTAGCTCCACCTTATCCCTTATGCCCTGCCCCTTCCTTATCACTAGATAATACTGTAAACAATCACATAGTCTTGTGCTCCTCTGCACCTTTACCCAATCTACTCTGTGTCCCGCACTCCTAATACTCCTTCTGATGTGCTGTGCGCTCCCTGTTCCCCTAAGTCATACCTGCATCTAAGTGCTGAGTGCCCCATGCCTAGGTGCCAGACACTGTGTTCCCAGAAACTCACACCAAATGTGGTTTAAAAATGACTGGTTAAATGTTTGGAACTCTGGCTCTGCTGCAGCCAGAGGCCATGTTAATGCCTGTGAGCCCTGCTGTTTCTGGGGCATGTAGATATGACTGGCCTGTGCTGCCAGGCCATGTTGATGTCTGTAGGCTGTGCTGCTGCCAATGGCCATGTTGGGGTCTGTGGTCCTGTTATAGCCTGGGGCCTTATCAATGTACCACTGAGGACTATGTGGATGTCCTTGGTCTATGCTGTGTCCTGATTCCATAATGGTGTCCACGGACAGAGCTGCCACCTTGTTCCAATGGACATGGTGTTGTTCATGTCCAGTGCTGCTACCAATAGATATGATGGGGTTCGTGGCCCATGCTTTGGCAGAGAATCCATAGCCTCTCCTGCCACCAGAGACTATGTTTTGGTTCTTGGCACATGCTGACAGTGGAGCCCTTGGGGATTTCTGTGGTTCATTCTCTCACCATAAACCATGTGGAAGTCTATGATCCATGGTTCCATTGGCTTTAAAGGAATGAAAACATCTTCTTTACAAAGAAATTGATGATTGCAGGCTCATGGTTGAGAAAGAGAGACACAGAATTCTCAGTGACACCTCCTCAGAAAAAAAGATAGCAGCTTAGGTAGCAAGCAATAAAGAGAAGTATTATAATTTTTGATAAAGATGCTAAACTGTAGCTCTCCACAGTTGATGGCTTCTGGTAGGGATGGGGAAGGGCCCCCTTTTCTTTAAGGGGCTGGACGCTGGCAGGTATACCATACTCCATACTCTAGTGATTATGGACAAGATAAATTGAATCTTTTTTTTTCTTTTCTTTTTTACTTTCTTTCAGGAAAAAGTGCAAAATGGTAGAAGGCAAGCCTGGGAGACCTGAAAAGTGAACCTAATCTGAATTCATTATATAAAATTCACAAACATTCAATAAAATATTGTATTAGGGGAGATAAAAGGTCTGCTAAATATGCTTCTGTTTTCAAATTTTCATTTCATGAAGCTATTATGTGCCTTTAGGAAACGTGATTTACATCCCAGAAGGCTCCCAGTTTGTGAACCAGCTTTCCTCAGTGCTGGCAACCTTCCTGAGAAGGAAGTTACTATAGAGAGTGGCACCTTGCACTTCTGGGTTCTGACAGTATGCTAAAGGCCTCTATCACTGAGGTACTTCTCTCTCTCCCCTCTCCCTCACTCCCTTCCTCTTTTCTCTCCTCTTTTATTTTATAAATAATTTTCAAACATTTAAAATATTTTTGCTCATTTTAGACAATAATTTTGATATATCCTTTCCAATCTCCCAGCTCCTCCCAGATCTTACCCACCTAAACAGAATAAACATTTTAAAACAAAATTGTGTGTTAATTTGTTTGATTTTAAAGACTTGTAGGAGAGTTTGGGAGATCCCCTGACTGTTCTTTAAGTGAGAGTTTCATAAGCAGAATTTTCAGTGCCACAGACAGCATGGCAGGGTTCTGAAGAGAGAGATGTCAGTACGCCCTAACAAAGAGTGAAGTCTATTCTTAAAGGTTTCAGAGGGAGTTGGAGGTCTCACTTCAGGAGACAAAATAGCTAAAAAGTGGCCTATGTTTCATGTCTATGATCACTGACAGCAGAGGCAGAGGGGCAGTTAGGCCCTTTGTGAGAGCTGTGAGAAGAGAGAAACTGTGAGGTCTCAGCAAGTGGCCCCACTTTTCTATCTGTCTATATATGTATCTATTTATCTATTTATCTATGTATGTATGTATGTATGTATGTATGTATGTATGTATGTATGTATGTATCTATCTATCTGAGAGATAGCATCACACTAAGACTCCTATAAGTTAAATAACCTTTCCTAATAGTCACTGTATTTTAAGGATGTATAAGTGAGAATAACAGCAGGAGGAGAATATTGACTCATATCATTTTTCTAAGGCAAAGAGGAGAGTGGGAAAAGAGAAGCAAGGCACAGTGTGTCTGGCTGTGGCAGGTGCTACTGTTACTTCCTGTCCAGAGTTAGGCTGCAGGACAGGTGGTTTCTCTAAGTCTCTCTTACAAGGGGTCACTGTAAATCCTGTGATGGCTGCTTTCCTCTAGGAAATGGGGCATCCAACTGGCTTTAAAGATAGCATTTCATGAAGTTTTTACTTTTCAGACATGTTGCAAAACTACAGACATATAGATACCTTTATAGCATCACCCACACATTTTCTTTTACTAGAAACTTAATTTTATCTGCACCTTTTTCCTATGTGAAAATTCCACAGATGTTCAAGACATCTTGGTCACTTATTTTTCCCACTTCCTCCATCCATTTATTGCTGGAACTCTTCCAATTATGTGTCCGATTTTCCATCCAATTTCGTGTCTTTAGTAAATCACCGAACTCAATACCGCTGCCAATTAAATTTACCATTGTTCTTAAAGACACATTTTCTGATAGGTAAAAAGCAGCATGCCAAAAATTTTTGTTTTAGGTTCATGAAAGCTTCTTTGATTAAGATCAATACAGTTATGACCACTGAGGAGATGTTACCAAAATCCAGGTTAATTATGTTTCCATACTTCTTCACAAACTGAAAAACTTTTCAATGGTCACAGTTGACTGTTCCTGTGACCGTGTATCAAGGAATAGCAGATACGGGTGTGTTTCGTGGATTTGTGTTGAGATGTTTCTACGATAAGATGAATGGAGGGATACACCTTGGTCTGTGGAATTATTTGTGAAAATATTTTTCTCCTCTGAACTAAATTCAAATTCAGGTAACATGGAATGTACTCTATAAAAACCACTGATATAGGATCCTTACCTGAAGCATTCTAAAGTCCAGCCGAGGCAGAGACTGAGACATACGTGACCTGACAAGGGCTGACTAAGGTTGTAATGTTTGCACAACTGTCATAGACTGCTTAGAAAAATAATATCTGTTTACCTAGAGAATAATGAAATCTATTACATTCTTCCAGACATGAGATACACATGTGTAAATAACAGTACTAACAGTGAGGACAGTCTGTGCACCTGTGTGTGGAAAAAGAATATTGTGTAATAGGACTATTTCAGCAAGTTCCTCCTCCTCTCTATGCCACCAAGTCCATGTCTCTTTAGAATTTCAATTTTTTCTTAAACCTTCATTCATTCATGCAGTCACCATTAACAACTGAGTGTGCATCAATGTTTCCCTAAACTGAATCATGAGGACCTTTTAAAAAATCATGAGGTCTTTTTTAAAAAGCAAGGTCTTTAACCTGGTGTCTAGGGAAGGCAGAAAATTAGAGGCATCAATCCTCATAGAGTTCAAGCTGTCTCTGTAGAAGTCTGTTGTAGCAAGCATGGAAAGCTTTAGTAAAATGTCCAAAACCAGTGGAGTAAAGAGAATGTTCTCTGTTTAATCATTAGTACAGAGTTTCTCAGCCTTCATAATGATAAAAGTTTTTAATACAGTTTTTCATATTGTGGTGGCCCCTAACTATAAAATTATTGTGTTGCTGCATTATACCTATTGATATGAATTGTAATGTAAATATCTGGAATCTAAGATACCTAATTTGTGACCCAAAAGAAGTCATGACTCACAGGCTGAAAGCCACTGAATTAGCAGATGTGGCAAATACAATAAATAGCAGAGGATAGGAGTGGAGATATTTCTAAAAATTGGGAGTGATATAACAGCATATGCTCCAATGATCGATAACTGTGTCCACTTGGGGCAAGTGCTTTCTTTCAAGTCTCAGGCCCCCATTATGAAAATGCTAAAAACATCCCCCCCCATGGGATTATGTGGGGCAGGATGAGAGGAGCACTGTGAGAAACTATTTACTTCCAGGTACCCACAACATTTCTGGAAAATGAATGAGCTCTGTGTTCAAAGGCTCAAGGATACAGATGCATCATAAGACCGAGAGAAAGAGCCTACTGATCCCAAACAGTCACACCCACGGAGGGGATTCTCAGTATGATTTGTGACTTATTTCATTATTTACAACTCTTCTCCCGTAGTCAGAATTTTCTTCATTTTTCCATGAAGACAAAGAAGACTTAGGTGAAGTTATTTAGCCAAACCAAAGTTTACATGAAAGCAAGAAGTTGTCAGGGATTCTATCAGATTTGAAGACAAATGTATAAATGTTAGATGTCCGTTGAACCTTAGTATTGAGTGAAGATAGAGTGGAGCAGCAATCATTAGGATGAGGAAGTATTTGGGAGAGAACTAGAGTATCTGTGAAATGCAATGTAAAATCATGGTTGGTTTAAATGAGCAATATCGAAGGTTCTTCTACCTGTGTGCTCAAGAGTGAGAACTATGTAGCCCCCAAATCTGCCTTTTGTCTACCTGCAACAAAGGTATCTTATCTAACTGGAGGTGTGCTATGAAATAGAAGAGTTCAGTTGCTTCAGGTGTCTTGGTTCCTCTGATTCATCCCCATCTTCTTGCCATGTCACACTACCCCTTTGTGACCTACACCCATGGGAACAGTGTGAAAACAGATGTAATGAGGAACCTCATCTGAGACTGTTGCACCCACATTAAATATAGAGCCTAGACTCTGTCTTCTGTTTTATTTATTTTTTCTTTTTTTCATCTGTAGCCCTTAATAGCTTCTTGTAACTCCAGCCAGTCATCCTTGTCTTGGTCCTGAGGCCAGAGGCA